GAAAAAAAACTATAAGTCTTTTCCAAGACAAGCAGAGATGGCCTGAAGCTCTAAACATGTAATGTCAATATCCTGTTTCCTTTCTGCAAGTCATCAAAACTTACATAAAAAGCACAAATCCTTTAATGGTGGCAGTCTCCATTTAATTTCATTAAACAAAATAAATCAGCATAATTTAATAGAGGATAAAAACATGACAAAAGAAAAGACTAACTTAATTTTAAATGTATAAAAACAATTTTACATTTATAAAAACTATTTTTTTGTCAATAAAAATTCTGGTCTTTTTGTGTGGATACAAAGGACAAGCTGGCCAATGTGTAAAATTCTGAAATAAAAGTTGATGGCAAGGCTTGGTAATGAACCTCGACCAATCAAACTTCAAAGCTAGTTCATAAAATATAAGAGTGCCAGCATAAAAAAAGTGCACTAAAATACATTTTAGTTTTTAGATGTGGTCATATGACTGAAAAGTCTCCCTTCATTCTTCTTCCTCAACATTTGGCGGGTAGGGACTAAGGGGGGGCATTGAAATCGCAGCAGGATACATGAATGGTCTTCTTCCACTGCATTTCAATCACAATGCCCTTGTAATCTGCTGCAGTGGGTCAGTTAAAAGTTATCAACACCCCAAACACAGGTCACAAGTGCAGTGTATTTGACCACACCAGCCACCACCGGATCCACATGGTATAAAAGTGCCATGCAATGCAGTTACCGTGCTTTTTAAAAAGTAGTTCATACGCTACTTTTAGTGCAGTGCGATTTCAGCCCCTTCAAAATGAATATGAATTACACAAGAACTACACAGTGTTTCTGTGCGATTCACAAGAAGTTCCTAGAGTGAATGGGCCCAAATTCTATATTTTGTCCTGTGCATCATGACACTGAGATTATGTTTTTGGTACAAAGCATGATAACATTATTTAAAATTTAAATTAAAACTTTTTTGCATTTTTGTAGGCTTATGCTACAAAAATAATGGCATAAAAAACACAAAGAAAAGTATAAAGTTAAAAAAAAAAAAAAAAAAAACGGTTTAAAAAAAAAAAAAAAGTTGGAAAAAAGAATAAAAAAAAAAAAAAAAAAAGAGAAAACAAGAGAAGGAATTAATTAGAACTAGTTTAAGATAACAAAGGGGTAATTAAGATTTTTTTCCCCCTATTTTCAGGTTTGACCCAACAAATGTAGCTAAATATAATGTATCAATTTTGGTTAACATTCTTTACACTCGGAAAGATTCATTTCAACTGACAACTAGGTCACAGCAACTCCAAAACTGTAGCTCTCCTGCGATGTTGCTGGTCTGCAGCAGTCAATACTTACCAAAAGAGGCCAAAGGAAGGAAAATTGGCAAACTGGCAACTGGGTCATGGGTGGCCGGGGCTCAATGATGCACATGATGCTGGCCTGTGTAGACATCCAATAGAAGAGCTATGGTAGCTCAAAATTGCTTAAAAAAGTTAATACTGGTTCCGATAGAAAGGTAAGACAATAAACCAAAAACGATTTCTCCTGCGCTCCGGGACCCAGGCCGGTGGGGAGTAGATGGAAAACACTCCAGAGAGGCAACCACCGGAGTATCCAAAGTCGTGCAGCTCCAAACCAAGGCTTCCGATAGAAAGGTGTCAAAACACATTGCATTGCAGTTTGCTGCATATAGAGAAACGTAGCTGCAGACTAGTCAGGGTGCTCATGCTGACCCATGTCCACAGCCAAAAGCACCTTAAAATTAGCACATGAACATCAGAATTGGACCACAGAGCAATGGTAGGAGGTAGCCTGGTCTGAGTTTTAAGAATGGTTTGAAGAACACAACAACAATTTTGATGCTTTTGACTTGGCCTCCTAATGCTCCAAATCTTAATCCAATCTAGCATCTGCAGGATGTGTTGGAAAAAAAAAAAAAAAAAAAAAAGTCCAATCCATGGAGGCCCCACCTTGCAACTTACAGGACCTGCTACGGACGGTTTGGCGTCACATTGATCATATGATCAAGATGCCCATAAAAATGCTTGTGTGGAGAAATATCCAAATATGTGGTATCCCATGCATGTCATGAGTAGGAGAATTTATTTTGGGCATGATATTGGTAAAAAAACATACATCTAAAGTTAAAAAAAAAATAGTTTTTGTTTACACTTTGGCACAAGTTTTCCTTTGATAGTGCAAAAAAGAACAACACTTACCACCAAAGGTCCAATGTGTCCAAAAAACAAGGTATAATTCACCTGGATATACCAAGTAGTTGCAAAAGATATGTAGTTTTACTAGCATGACCAGGTTGCCGAAGTTCGCTGACACAAATGTTCTGTTTCTAAATGCTGCTTTCATCTTCAGCTTAAGCCTGGGTTCACACTGATGTGCCGCAGAATTCGCAGTGGTTTCTGTGTGAATTCCGCACTGCATCAGAATCACACCCCATTCATGCGAACTGCTGCGGGTGTGTATGTTAACACCCTGAAATCAGTCCTCAAAACGCGGTGCGATGTGCAGAATTGGATCACATAGATGTGAATACCCCATGCGATCCAATTCTAGTGCAGACCAAAAGAAGGGTCCTACACTTTTCTGGTGCGGATGCGGTACGATTGAGCCATACACATTGTATGGCTCAAATCGACCGCACAGAATTCTCATATGATTTGCACAGGAATGCGATGCGGTTCCTGTGCGAATCACATCCGATATACCGCACCGTACATATGTGAACTCAGGCTGAAACCAGAACATGTACACCTGCATCTACAACTTATATAACTTGGAAGTGCTGAATTGCAGTTGAACCCGCCACACCTCCCGCTGACAACACACGGTTAGATTTGGTTTCAGAACTGATCTGACAGATCAACAAAAACGTTACCAGCTGTGCATTGTGAGGTTCTACCTGACTGGATATAATTTTAATTAATTATTTCGGCAAGTCCTCACATGACAGAGTTGGTAATGTGTGGCCAATTTAACTCTTTTATCACTTAATCTGATCACATTGTCACACCGTGATCGCCGCAATTCTATCTGCAATTCAAAACGCTCGGCTAAAATGTCAAATCGCACAACACAAATTTCAGATGCCATTCATTTTTTTAATAACCCCTAAAAACACAATGCGGTGCAGACGCGATTGTTGCATGATAAATCGCATTGCGAATCGCAGCAAGCATCCCATAAAGCTTGTCGCCCAAAAGAAACTCTTGCTCCTTTTTGGGCGACAAGCTTCACGCAATACAGTTTGCCGCAATTGCAGCTCAATTTATCACGCAAAGAGGAAATCTTCAAATGGGGACACTGGTTCTGGTGACCTGAGAGTCACCAAGGGATTAAGTTAATTTCACCATACGTCCTGTTATAGCTATGGAACAGGAAGTGAAGGTTAATCCCCCCAATGTGATAAGAAAAAAAAATCCAACAGGGGCTATAACCCCCCCTCCGTTACTCTATCCAAAATGAAAAAATAAACTTTTTTTTTTATTTTTATTTCTATTTTTTTATTTATTTATTTTTTTATTTTTATTTTATTTTTATTTTATTATTATTTTTACTTTTATTTTAATTTTATCTTTATTTTTATTTCTATTTTTTTTTTTATTTATTTATTTTTTTATTAAATTTTATATTTTTTATTTTTATTTTTATTATTATTTTTATTTTTATTTTATTATTATTATTTTTTTATTTTATTTTTATTTTATAATATATTTTTTTATTTTTTTTAATTTTTTTATTTTTTTTTATTTTATTTTAATTTTAATTCTAACTTTATTTTTATTTTATAACCATTATTATTTTTATTTATATTTATTTTTATTACTATTCAGTAGTGATGTCATTCATTACTCATTTAATAAAGAATGTTTTTTGTAATATGTAGGCAATTTTTAAATTATATTTATATTTATGTTTTTCCCACTAAGGACATGTGGTAATATACATGTTGTTGCTGGGAGAAAATTAAGTGGTGATGGGAATAATTTAAAAAGGTTTTTAAGTTGTGTAGGTATATGCCTCATTTGTAAAGGACTCTCACGTCACATAACAGGAGGAGTGGTTTTTTGATAATCCTGGGGATGTGTTTTGACCAATTGTAACGGAGGGGTGGGTCCCTGTTGGGTATGTAAGGGAGCTTCAGACAGGAAATGGACGTCTTGAGAACGCCCGATGGGAGGGGCGAAACGCGTTGACGCATTTCCGGTTGTTACCCCGTACGTCTGACGTCACTTCCGGTGAGTGGAGCGCACGCTGAGCGGTGCGTTCCAGCGGCCATCTTTTGGGATCTGTGTATGTTTGGTCTCTGTGGAACTTCTGCTGTATCCTGGAGCTGTGATGTGAGATTCCATGGGAGGTTGTCTTACATTCATTGTCCATCTGGAAGAAGCTTGTCCTAATAAATATGCCTTTTTAAAGTGATTTAAATGTGAGTGGCCTTAATCCTTGATTTTATTCATAAATGGTATTTTGCAATATTACACTATCTGAGATTTTTCTCTCCCCGGTTGTATGGTGGAGCCTACACTGAAGGTGAGGATTCCTATAGAGTGGATACGAAAGAGGGTTTAGGATCCCATATAAATTCCTAAAAGGCGTTTCATTCACCTAAATCTGGTGAGTGCATTTGATGTTGGTTTGCACGGGTGGAAGGTGGAAGTTTTTTTCTTTACATTAGAAGAATTTGAAAAAATTTTTTGCACAAAATATTTTTTTTGAGATTTCTGAACTTTTGTTGTCTATTAACCATGATGGACTTCACTATTAATATAATTTTTTATATATGTTTGCACTTTGTATATTGATTTGATTTAAAGGTCTATGTTTGCGCTGTTTATTTATATTTATCAAACTTTTTTTATAGTTAAGCAAGCCATAGATTACACCCGGGCTTAACATTTCAAGTCCTGAGCTACTAGCCAGGCCTTAGAGTTACTCGCCACCAACAAACACACACAAACAGAGACACCCGTACACACACACACAGAAACATGTACACACACGCACAGAGACACATGTACACACACAGAGACACACGTACACACACAGAGACACACGTACACACACAGAGACACACGTACACACACAGAGACACACGTACACACACAGAGACACACGTACACACACAGACACACACGTACACACACACACACACATACAGGCACGCATACACACAGATACATGTACATACACAGAAATACACACTCTCAGACATGTACATGCACTCAGAAACAAGTACACACATACACACATGTACGTACATACACACAGACACTTGTACACACAGACACGTACAGATATACACATGTACATACACACAGACACATGTACAATTGTACATGCATACACAGACACATACAAACAGTACACGTACGTACACACACCCATAAAAAGTTGCAATACTTTGTTGTTCACTCACAGATCCGGGTACTGCACTCAAGGGGGAGGCAGAGAGCACAGCACACACTTTTTGCTTTGCTTTCACTGCACTCAGCTATTGAGCAGTCTGATGGCTCCCAGTGTCAATGACAGATCCGGCCTGAGCTCCAAGCCTGCTCAGCAAGACGGTCCTGGGGGACACACTTGCCCCCACCATAATTTCCACTCGCCATTGGCGAGCAAGCGAGTGGAAATTTAAAGCCCAGGATTACACAATTTACTTTCCTTCCTGGCCAATGAAGGAGGGAGGGCGCGAGGCACCTTCCCAGTAGGCAGAGTGCAATGGTTACTGCTAGTGGCTATAGCCCCTGGCAGTAACCAAATGTGAAGAAATCCGACAGGTCGGGTTGCACCAAAGTCGACTGATGTGGGTACGAATAGAGGGTATAAATACTACATGATTATAGCATGTGCAAAATATTACAGGCTTCTATGAGGACATGGAATGGCAATGGTCTACACAGTCAGTAACGCTATTGTGTACATTCAGCTTCAGTATGATTTTCCAAAAAAAAAAAAAAAACCCAAATGCAATTCCAAACGTAGTACATACCAGCACTCCTCCTGTTTTAAATGGTGCACACTCCCTTATTAGAGATGCAGCTGTTGGGGGGCTTGTCCACAAAAACTGCTGGCCCCTCATACTCTCTCTCCTGCCGTTAGCTGCAGGCCGTTCAAACTGTGCTTTAAAACTGTGGAGCAACTCCAGATAAGCTCAGTACCAGCCTCTCCAAGTCATTCATACTTTGTGCCCGCGCAATGCGCTCTCTTCTGCTGTAGCTGTGCTCAGAAAGCGCGAGCGTAGTGCGCATGTGCACAGTTTAAACTGTTCAGAGAGGCCACTAGGGGGCGAATCAATGTAATGTTCAGCCCATCCTGCAAATGACAGGGCAGAGGGTATGAAGGACAGAGGGGATGAGGGGATAAAGGGCCAACGGCTTTTGTGCAGAGGCCCCCCCCATCCCCAACTACTGCATCTGTAATGGGAGGCCATTTAGGACAGGTTCATATATGTGTGGCCGTACGGGCCACAATTTGTGCAGGCACAAGTCCCTGCACTTCCTCGGAAATCGCAGCTCGCAGCTCGCAGGGGAACCGAGGTTCCCAGTATGGTTGTGATTTCCAATGCGGTCGGCATGCCATTAGAATTAATGGTATGTGCTGTTAAAATGTTACTAAACCCACAACAGTAAAATCAGTCTGTATATGCAGTAAAGCATGCTTGTTATACTCACTGTGGAACCTAAGGAGTTAATCCTCTGCATTGTGTAAAAAATGCTATTTCATCTGGTCTTCTCTGATCCTCCCCTTTTTCCAGTGTCCCCCTCTTATCTCCTGATAAGACCTACTGAGTGGAGACACACTGCACATGCTGAGTTTGGTGTGTATTGCTAGAGAGTTTTTGTATTGGCCCTGTGCATGTCATCAGCACAGAGCCAATCAGCACTGTCCAAACAAAAGTCAGAGCTTCTGCATCATCCTGGAGCAGAAAAAAAAAAAACCTCCTCTTGCAAGCTTTAACCAGTTTTCACAGTGACACTGATAGAAGTCACAAGACTGCGCTAACTGCTGATGAGAAAAGGTATTTAGCAGTTTATATTTACTAAAATAATTGCATTTCCATGTTCTGTGTACTGTGGGAGGCCTGATATAGTGAATTCAGGGTCCTGGGTTTAGTAAAAATTTAAGAGGATATGGAATTGCATAGGAGGATTATTGGAAAATCTTGCTGAATGTGAACTTAAAGAACATGTAAACCCAACATTTCATATACCCGATATGTGCCTGCTGTACCATGTACTTGTATGAAAAAGTATCCTGTTCTCTTTGTATTGTTCCCTTTGTGTGAAATCCCTGGGGTTCCTGCCAGTCCATCTGCTTTCCAAATAAAAAAACTGACTACACTAGGCATGAGAGCACAGCGTGGTCGGCTCTCTAGCTAGCTGTGCTGCTGGGAACTCAGTCTGCTCTCCTCCAGTGATCAGACCTCTCCTGACAACATCCCTTGCTACATAGCTCTCACTAGGAAGCTCAGTGTACTACGGTTTCTCCTCCCCTAGCTCTTATGCAGCTGAGAACCGAGGGAATGTGATCACTTAAAAAAAAAAGGGGGGGGGAAGGTATTATTGTTTTTTTATATGTATACACAAATATTCTGCCTTTCATTTCTATTTTAAACTGAATGTGTTGCTTTACAAGGTGAGGGTTTACAATCACTTTAAATAAAATAGATAAAAAGAACACAGGTTGGATCCACAGTATGATTTTCATGTGGATTCATACAGCTACAAAATTTTCATTCCTGCAATAGTTTCCAAACTACTTCTTTTTTAATATTGCTGGTCACCATCCCACTGAGCGGCTTCCTTCCTGTCCCACACATTCTGCCAGAGGGGAATCTGCTGCGATAATCAGTCATTCCTCCCTTATCTTGGATAAAAATACACATCCAGGCTACACATCACCCCTACACTCCATTAAAAAGAGACCTGGATTATGCCACACACAAAGTGACAGGGCAAGGCACAACATTCTGCAAGTTCCAGTACATAGTATTAGAGAGGGCCTCAAATATAAAGACCAGAAGAAACTGGTGTCACCTTCATCCACAGGGCACAGTTATTAAAGAGTAACCCCACTTTTGTTGAGAAAAACAATCATTCCTCTCTGGTGATCTGTGTACATAGCAAGGATCTTGAACTTTGTTGCAGATTCCTACCTTTTGTTATTCTGAAGAAATAGCTGTTTTTCTGTGTCCATGTGCAGAGTGAATCTGCATGGGAGTGACTTTATAATTACCAATCAGCTGCTGCACCTGTAGGGATCTAATGAGAAAAGTTGCCAGGCCTGCATTCCTTTAGATGTGATTTTCCTTAGGGAGTATCTCACCAAACATTCCATTTTTGTTGCAGGGGATCCTTGAAATCTGACTTGCACCTTAGTGCAAAAAAAATCAGCAAGCCAATCACACAAGCAGGACATGACATGTCTGGAGGGCATTCTGTACATCATCTGTGTACAGAATGCCTCCTGGTTGCCATATTGCATTTTACAGATTATCACAACGCTGCAGATTAAAGTGTTACTAAACCCACAACAGTAAAATCAGTCTGTATATGCAGTGAAGCAAACTTGTTCTACTCACTGTGGAACCTAAGGGGTTAATCCTCTGCATTGTGTAAAAAGATCCTGTTTTCTCTGCCCCTCCTCTTGTTCAAATGTCCATCTGATAAGGCAGACAGAACCCGTAGTCACATGCACAAGCTCAGTTTAGTGTGTATTGCTAGAGAGGTTTTTTTTTTTTCCCTTGGTGATCAGCACAGGGCCAATCAGCACTGGTCAGACAGAGGTCAGGGGTTTTGCAGCCTCCTAGAGCAGAAAGAAAACTCCTCGTACAAACTTTAACCAGTGCTCTGCTGAAGTCACAAGACTGCTCCATGTTGTTTGTACTGTGGGAGACCAGATATAGTGAATGTGAGGTCCTGGGTTTAGTAACACTTTAAAAAATGAAAGGTCATTTTTAATAATGTTCAATTACAACATGACTTGTGACGCAATTGTATATGCTGCATTTTTTATTCAATATTTTTTTCCATGAAAGTGGAGGTGCTCTTTAAACTGCAAAACCAGTCAGAGGAAAAGAAACAACAGTTGGGATGTGGCCATGTACTGATGGCAACATCTAGTTTTTGGCCAAAAAAACCCAGCAAAGACAAGCACTACCATGTGGAAAATGTATCCAGCGTATAGGAAAATCTGAGCCACTACTGAATATTTTATTACCTACGTAGAAAAGGCATCCAGCCTCTTACTAGAGTGCACCATGTCCATTGAGTTCATGAGGATGACTATGCCTACGATTCAAACGAGCAAGCACAGCTTTCTCATCACCTGGTTATACTTTCCCATCCATGGGCAAACCGAAAAGTGTCCACAGACAATAAACGAAAGTAATGATAATTAGCGTTTATGAGCCACCCACAGATACGGTTTGCTGAATTTCAGGGAAGAGGAGTTCAAATATGATTAGAATGACTAGAAAACCTAGTCAACCATCTATAGCTTTCCTCTCTGATAAAGAAGCACCAGGGAAGTCTTTAGGGTGCCATTTCCTGCCTCTCTAAATATTTGTAACATCAATGGTTTTAGTAGCCCACCTGCAGACACAGGTGGTCAGATTGCGGCTACACATCTCCACACTCTCAGGTGGTAAAACAGGTTTTAATTTAACTAAAAATAACAATGGCCCGAGTTAATTTACGGTCAAGTATACTGGCAGGTACGAAAACTTTAGTAACCTATCTATGAATGTAATTAGTAATTTGCTGACATAAGTAACTCCTATAATAGCCACGTAAAGTGTAACTTCACTCTCTCAATCAACATTGACTATTTTTAATCCTTAAATATTTTTAATCCGTAAATAGATAGGAAAGTATATCATAGTTCCATGCCTAGGCAAATGTCAACAGATGGATTCCAGGAAGTAAATGCTACATGAATCATCTGCCCTTATTCAAGATGGCCATAGCCAGAAATGCCAGGGGGGGTGTTTCAAAATTAATTCTCAGCAAAATAACACAAGGAGACATGGGTGGATGCAGATAGACAGCACAAAGCTCTTAATTCACTCCCTGGCTATCTCTCGCCTCGACTACTGCAACTCCCTCCTCACTGGCTTACCTTTACATAGGCTATCCCCCCTCCAATCCATCATGAATGCTGCTGCCAGGCTCATCCACCTTACCAACCGTTCAGTGCCTGCTACCCCTCTCTGCCAATCCCTCCACTGGCTTCCACTCCCCCAACGAAGAAAATTCAAAATACTAACAACAACAACTTATAAAGCCATCCGCAACTCTGCTCACCAACTTTTTTTTGAAAATATCAACCAAACTGCTCTCTTCGATCCTCCCAAGACCTTCTGCTCTCCAGTTCCCGTGTCACCTCCTCCCATGCTTGCCTCCAGGACTTCTCCCATCCTATGGAACTCCCTACCCCAATCTGTCCCGCCCTTCTCCAATCCTATGGAACGCCCTACCCCAATCTGTCCAGCCATCTCCTAATCTATCCACCTTTAGACGATTCCTGAAAACTCTCTTTAAAGAAGCCTATCCTGCTTCTAACTAGTAAACTGCCTCCATCAGCTCATCCCCCCACAGCTATTACCTTTTGTATCACTCAACCCTTCCTCGTAGATTGCAAGCTGTA